AGACATAGGGCTCCTGATGGTAGGGTCCTGGCGGGGAGCTGGACAGCTCTGTTGGGAGACAGCGACAGGATGATATTTAAGACATTAAGATCGTTTAATTTATGGCAGCATCACCTAGTTTTCCTCGTTCACTGTTCCCACAATACAGATTTGTATGCTTTGGCAGGACACACAGGCTCCAAGAGTGTGGAGGAGAGGACAGGAGCACACCCTTCTGCAACCTGGTCCACTGGCCTAACCCAGAGACCCAGGTGGGAGGTGGAAGCGGTGACAAAGGCAGCAAGCCTGGGTCACATCAAAAAGGAGGCTATTCTCAGTCCCATAATCATATGTGCCACAGAAGAATGTGGCTTCCTTTACACTTCAGGCTGGGCATGATACCACAGATATGCTTGAGCCCTCAGGTGAGGATTAGGTGACTAGGTCCAAGCTGTAAGCACCACCAGCCAGAGCAAAACAGAGGATAAAAGAGACTGGTCACCCAGAGGCACTGGAGGAAACAGGTTGGACAAGGCGCCAGGCATACTTGGACTTAAAAGAGACTGAAAACTCGGTATCTAAAGGCTCTTTGGGCTGGAGGGTAGCACGGCAGTGAAATGTGATGTGATGCTCCGTGAGGCTGACCCACACGAGGACAGTTCCCAGTTCTCATCACAGACCCTCCAGAACAAGCCAGAATGCATGTGCCCATGATCCAGATTCGCTGGGGGTGTTGCAGCCTCAAGACCCTATTGGGGTGCTGTGTCTTCCTAGTTTATGGAGATTAATTGAAGGAAAGAAAGGGAGGAAAGGGAAGAAAGAAAGGGAGGGAGAAGAGAGAGAAAGGGAAGAAAGAAAGAGAAGAAAGAGGAGGAGAAAAAAAAGGGAAGGAGAGAAGAAAGGGAGGGAAGAAAAGAAAGGAAGAAAGGGAGCGAAGAAAGGAAAATAAAGGGAGGAAAGAGAGGAGAGAAGAAACAAAAGGGGAGGGACCAGCAGTTAGCGTAATGGCTATGTCGCTGGACTCCCATGTAGTCAACCATGGTTCGTGTCCCGGACCTGGTGGCTTTAAAACTCATGCCGGGCACATGTGTGTCCATGCCCAAGATCCCAAGAGGAGAATGGAGGAGAAGGAATTGCGGCGTGGCCATCCCCCCGGGGGGGTGATTTCTTGCTTTCTGTCTGTCTCTGTCTGGTGAGCACACACGCCCTGTGGCAAAAACCTGGGGGGGGGGAAGAAATAATAATAATAGAAAAAAGCTCTTTAAATCCTTCACACTCAAGTCCCTGGCAAACTCTTGCTTATCTCAGTTATATGGATATGCTAAAAAGCTTCAGGAAATGTGAGGTTCACGATGCTAGAAGCAACTCATTTAGTGGTGGCTGGTTAAGCTGGAAGGTACAGAAGAACATGTAGGATGAGTTCTGATCACCTAATCCTGGGTAATTCCAGGGCTGGCCCAGAATAAATCTAGCTCTGCCAATTCCCTCGTCATTTTCCAGGGGATGGCCCCTTAAGGTGACTACACAGCAGGAAATTGAAAAAAAGCATCAAGTGCAGAAAACTGAGCTGAAGAAATAAATACATGATAATTTAAGAAAGTGAGTATCTAAAGATGAGAAGACCATTGAGGGCCTGAAGTTGGTTTATCAGCAGCAAGGGGTCAGTTTTCTTTCCCCAGGAGGCCTATACTGTAGAAACTTGACTAAAAGCTTTGGTATATGGAAAATTACATTTATCAACAAGTAGAAGGATATGTGGGCATTTCCTCCAACCCTTTTTATCTGAACAATAAATGAGATCTGTATAAGATTAGAGAGCTAGCCAGATAGAAGAATACTATTTTTGGATCTTGGGTTAAGTTCAAGTCCCAAAGCTGCTCAGATTCTCGATGATCTTCTTCCAGAGACTCATAGGGGTCCAACAACTCAGATTAAAGTTGCTGTTTATGTACAAAGAAAAACAAAAACCAAAAAAGTACTATTTTAGGATTTCCAAATCCTGCTCAGCAACCTGACCTGTTAGCCACAGCAAGCCTGCCATGGTCAATTCACCACTGTGACTTCGGAACTGATAACATAAAGAGAAGCTGGGGCAGAACCTCCAGGCTCTGCCAGGTGATGATGAAGAACTGAGCCCATTTTCTGAAGAGAGCCAGACACATTCTTGTACAATTGTTTACCCTCCGAGAGAGTCCAGGAATTGTTGAAACCTCTTTCTACAAGAAGGGGAGGTGCAGCTGGTGCTGACATCTCTAGTGACAACCCAACTTTCCCTCTGAATTGTATGGATTACGTTCCAGGTACTTTCTTCCCGTGGGGTTTGGATGAAGAGCAGTTGATAGAAACCTTGATGACTGAGACTGAATGGAAAGTTTTACCAGGACTGCACTGAGCCAATTTTCTTTAAGGAGAGCTGTGGTGGGTGGCCTGTTTCCTGTGGTGAGCCCTTTACCCTCAGGTGATTCTGACCGGTATTCATGTACCACCCATGATGCTGAGGTCACTGAGGTGTCTGCTTATCACCTGACAGGCTAAAATTCTCCAGGCACCACAAAGAGGAAGGTGGCAGGCTTCCCCAGTGCTGGCTCGAAGCTGGCCCCAAGTGACTCTCCAGGGCCTCTTTGGCCCTGCCTCTGGCACGAGATCGAGCTCTGGTTTCATCATTTCCATGATCTGCTCTCTGTGGCCAAGCAGACCTACTGAATATCTGAGATGACAGGAAAATGACTTACAGCTCTCTTGGGATGAAATCTCAACAACTTGACTTGGTAAGAGTGAGGAACTGGTTTTGTGGCTCTTCAGGGGGCAAAAAGCATCCACCTGATGGGGCAGCTTTAGCTCAAGGGTGAGAGACAAGAGAAATAAGAGTACCTCTAGAGTGTACAGCCCCACCGGCACACATGTGGTATAAAGTAACTGTGTTCATACCAGACACGTCGGAGCACTTTTGTGAATCCACCATTAAAGCATCAAATACTTCAAAGTCAGTTTTCTTCACTTGGATGACGTTGTTAACTGTGCCAAGCTGGCTGGTTACTACTGGCTGGGAAGAGACAGACAGGCAGAAATCATAACGTGGAAAGTCTGTGCAATTATTCTTCAGAGGACTTGGAATTCCTAGTGGGGTGTTCTCACCTCTGTTCATCTGGGTCAGCCATGCCAATAGTCTGAAAATAAGTGCTGCTATCTAGCTCAGTTATATGCAAAGACTTTTACCAGCAGGGCAAAGGGACCGGGCAACAATCCTCATTAAAAGAGGGTGACTTGACTGGAGCATGCAGTCACCCAGAGGACCAGGCATGGGAGGAGCAGTACCTCAGAAGGATCATGAGTCCACTGGCCATCCACAAAGAACTTGTACTGGTGTTCTCCTTCAGGCAGATCCAGGATGGCTACAAAGTTATTGTGGCTGCAAGGCAAAAGGAAGCAGAGGATTTCAGTCAGGTGGGCTCTGCCCTCTTAGCCGGCCTGCCAACCCAGGGACTGAATGACCTAGAATGCATCCATGTAGATCCATGAGCTCAGCTGCAGGAGAACAAACGTTTTTAGACAATTCAGTGTCTGGATCTCAATGTGCAAAAGTTTAAAGGAAGCAGGAGTGCAAGAAGTTTTCCTGAAAAGTCACTTCGTTCAGATACCAGGAATCCACATTCCTAACATTAAAAGGTCAATGGACAGGCATTTGCCCTTCTCAAGCCTGTAAGCAAAACACCATCCAGTAGTCCGAGGATAACATGAGACACATAATAGCAAGCTGCCTGGTTTTGTCCTTGTCAGCTTGCCTTGGGCAGAAGAGGGGCTCAATTTAATAGGATGCAAAATGTTCTCTAAAGAAACTTGCCCAGCAGGACAGGATTTCTCCATTTCATCAAGAGTTATTCGCTAGGAAACATGCTTTATGACTGGCAATCTGAGACAGAAGTCTCTGCTAGGGTTTCTGATAAAGTATCCTAGTGTGGGACCAGCAGTTGGCATAATGGCTATGTTGCTGGACTCCCATGTAGTCGACTGTGGTTCGAGTCCCAGACCCAGTGGCTTAAACTCACGCCGGGCGCGTGTGCGTGTGTGCCCAAAATCCCGAGAGGAGAATGGAGGAAAAGGGATTGTGGCGTGGCCATCCCCCCTGGGGGGTGATTTCTCGCTTTCTGTCTGTCTGTCTCTCTCTGGCAAGCGCACGGGCCCTATAGCAAAAACGTGTACAAAAAAAAAAAAAAAAAGGGGAAGAGGTTTCTGTTTCTGAAGGGTTCTGACTGAACAAATACTCAAGCGGAGTACCTAAAGTCAAAGATGTCTGTGACACAGATAGGCTCTCTAATCAGGGAGTTTTTTTCTTCTGACAAAAGTGTACTTAGGTTAGAGATGTGTACCCTATGATTAATTTTTCCAGTTTATAGAAACATCCTTGTTCTATTCACCCACAGAGATCATCTAGAAATGAGAGAATCCATGGCTTAAGACAAATATGAGAACATTCACAAGCAATTACCTTCTCGTAAGGGGAAGTTTACTCCAGTTGTTGAAGGATCCTGATAAGTAAACTTCCTTTCCACCCCCGGTCCATCGAAAAACAGTTGGCCGAGCCTGGGCGGGAGCTTTATCATTCACTTCCAGATCATGCTGCCAGGCCAAGAATTCCTCCTTCTCTGGAGCCTAGAAGCAGAGGAGTTGATTCAGGGAGAGGAAGCCCTTACTCAGTGAGCTCCATACAGGGGACAGTAACATTAGTTTTGACAATTCTAAAGCAGCAGCTGTTACTACCTAGGCTCATACTCGGACTTGGCAACTGACTTGCAATGCCTTAGTTTCCCCATCTGCAACTCCGAAATAATCAAATAATAATTCCTTAATGCTATGGCAAAGACTGAGTGAGATACTCTGCATAAAATGCTGAGCAGCATCTGACACCCAATGAGTGCCGAAAAATGATCAGCAATAGTCGCAGTCGTCGTCAAAATTCCAGGGCAACTATAAAACCCACTTGGAAAAACGCTGTGATGAATCCCAGCCTAGCTCAGTAAATGTCACTGTCTTTCCTTAATTAAGCCAGATTTGAAGTACATGAAAATTTATGAGGGACGGTTTCAGAGCTGTCTGCTTGAGAACTGGCAAATCCAGATTTTTAAGGAAGGGAAAAACTATTCATTGAGTACAGTCCAGGAACTGAAGAGAAGAAAAGTAAGTAAGGCAGAGTCAGACCCCTTCATAACTTCCAGTGTTGTAAGTGCCCAATAACTGAGGTATTCCAGAATAAGAAAGAAACTCATCCAACTCTGGCTAGGTGAATTCTATGTCGTTATGGATCGTTTACATTTTTCCTAGCCAGAAGCCAAAGATGTTAAAAGAGCAAGAGTCCCAGGCTGAGAGAGATCCTTCAGGGAGTCAAGGAGGCTTCTAGCACCTTCACTTCAAATACTGCCCTGAACTTTGTCTAAAAAAGGCCTGCATCTTTGAATTTTTTTTTTTTTAAGAGAGATTTTTGCTATAGGGTGGCACACTCACTGAAGAGACAGAGAGACAGAAAACAAGAAATCACCCCCTGGGGGAAGGCCACACCACAATCTCTTCTTTTTCCTCTTGAGATTTTCGGCACACATGTATTCGCACCTGGCTTGAGTTTTAAGACACTGGATCTGGAACTCGAACAGTGGTCAACTATGTGGGAGTCCAGCAATGTAACCATTACGCCATCATCTCTGCATTCTAACAAGAACTATGGATAGAAGAATAACAGACTGGAGTCACTTTGCACTGAGGACATGGTAATGAACAGCAGTCAGAGTGGTGCGTGGGCCAGTTAGACTTTTGGTATTTGAGGCAGTCAAGCTACTACACAATTTCAATAGGTTCTGATGACATGAGAACGGACACTACCTTAAATCATTCTTGGGACAAGCAGATGGTGTAATGGTCACATTGCTGGACTCCCATGTTGTTGGTCATAGTTTGAGTTCTGGACCTGGTAGCTTAAAACTCACACTGGGCATGTGTATGCATATGCTCAAAACTCTGAGAGGAGAATGGACTGCAGTGTGGTCATTCTCCCTGGGGGTTGATCTCTCACTTTCTGTCTCTGTCTTGATGGTAGGTGCATGCACCCTAGAGCAGAAAGAAAACTAAAAAAAAAAAAAAAAAAAATTTTCCATAGATTATCTATATGCTAAACATTTCCTGTAAGTTTTGGAAGAACAACAGGACAAATACTCTTGAAAGAAAGCAGTTTGATTCTTCAGTGTGCATGTGTACATGTGGTGTTTTTATTTAGACAGAGTCTCCCTATGCTGTGATCCTCCGGCTTCAGTCTCCCAAGCAGCTGGGGCCACAGGCATGAATGTGGGTGAGGTCATCCTCCCACTGCCGAGCAGCAGTGTCCACGCTGCACTGCCGTATCTGGGTGAAAGTGGTTTGATCCCTGCAGTGTCTTAAATGGCATTCTTGAGGCCAAACTTACTTCTGGGAGAAGGGATGTCAAATCACTAGAGAAACAGGATTCGAAAGTTCACTTTACACACAGCTTTTTGAGACTGCAATAAATGCAGAAAGCAAGCTTAAATCACAGGATACAGAAGCCAAGTAAAAGCAGGCTCTTTAGAGTTAGACTTGAAACAACAATCCAGGTGAGGGTGTAAGGTAAGAGGCTGATGGATCACCCAAACTAATGTGAGGGAAAAAACCAGGAATCGAGATGGAAGGAGTTGCCAGGATATGAACTTTACAGACAATGATGATTAACACGAAAGTGGATACTCAGAGTATGTTGGCCAAAGGGCACCTTCACCCTTCCTAAAACCTGCTTTGTTTCTTTAAGGAATTAGTTATTTTCAGATCTAACATATGTATTGTGTCCTTGGAGTAGGCCCTGCAGCTGGAAACAGACCACACTGAGGTGGTTAACAGGAATGTGGCTGAAGCAGGAATTAAGAATTATCTGAATTAAAGCAGACTCCAGGGTCCAGCAGTTGGCATAGCGGTTATGTCACTGGACTTCCACACATCTAATCATGATTCAAGTCCCTGACCTGTGGCTTGAAAACTCATGCCAGGCGTATTTGTGTGTGTGCCCAAGGTCCTGGGAGGAGTATGGATTGTGGCATGGCCATAAGCCCTGGGGGGTAGATTTCTCACTTTCCCTCTCACTGTCTCTGTCTCTCTCTGGCGAGCGCATGCGCCCTAAGACAAAAACCTCTTTAAAAAAATAAAAGGCAGACTACAGCAGGAAGTCTAAACCTGCCCGGTAATATTTGCATTGGCCTGCTTTAAATATCAAGGCATATTTAAATAACAGGGAGAGGTGTTGGACAGCTGCTGACTCCCTCCTGCAAACGCATTTCCCTCACCCACTGACCCCCAGGAGTAGAACTACCTTTCTATGCTGCTCTAAATAAGCAGAGGGAACCAAAAGTGTTGGGCAGCACTAAAGCCCTCTGGCAACTGCAGTCAGCAGTTCAACTCTTTCAGCCTCCAAGTGGACTCTGGTTTACCTCCAAAAAGGAAAACAAACTCTCAGACCAACTTTTTACAAAAGTGCCAGTCTGCCGTCAAGGTGAGGGAAGAGTTCTCAAAGCTGTGAAATTAATTATACCTAAGAGAAAAGCAGAGACTGCGACTCAATTACTGCTAGCTCGACTCTCTTAATTAAATGAAAATTTGAAACGCTGTCCCAGAGCTGCTTTCTCCTTAATGATGTTAAACGCAGTGAGTTCTTCCTCCCTCAGGGTGACTTTCTCATATCGGTAATTAGACACAGGTGCCTGGACTGCTCCGCGGGCTCTTACAGGGCCATCTCGGTAAAGGACCACTGCCCTCCTCGCTCTGACGGTGGCGAGCTGCAGAGACGTGGCGGGAAACTAGTAGATTCACATCAGCCAAGGGGAATCGGATCCACCCCCACACCCTGCACCTTGATTTCCTCGGAGTGGAAGAGGTCGGCGTCTTCGGGGCTGTCCATCAGGATCTTGGGCCTGTCCCCGTCCTTGGCGCCCCCCGAGCTGTCCCTCCGGGGCGTCTTATGGCCACCGTGCCGCTCCAGCGCGGCGCGCTCACTGCTCGTGTTGCCCATGGCGGGGGTCTGCGGCGACAAGGGGAAGCCGGACGCAGTCTCGCTCCACGAAGGGACCGGGGACGAGGACTCTCGGGAGCCAAGGAGTCACAAGGACCCTGCGGAAGGGGTCGGAGCACCGGAGTACCACGCCCCTCGGGTGAACGTTCGGGGCCGGGAGCCGGCTCCAGCCGACTCGGCGGGGATGGCGAGGTCTGTCTCCCTTGGCCCGCCCAGGCAGCAGCCGGCTCAAGAAGCTAGAAGATAACCGGACACTTTCCCAACAACTCGCCAACCCCTTAGCAACTTCCGCTTCCGGCGACTCCGCGAGTCCGCAGGCTCAAGGGGGTGGGGGCTGGCTGTGGCCGGCGAAGCGTGAGAGGCTGACTTGACCTCACTTCCGCTTCCGGTCTTGGGCTATGTGGTCGCAGGCGCCCCGGGTCCGCCGGCTCAGGACTCGGAGTGCGCAGTCGCAGTCGGCCGCTCAGGCCCGGGCTGCGGACGAGGTAGCTGAGGCCGGCAGGGGGCGCCCGAGAGCGCGGGCCGTCCGGGGCCTCTCATCCCACGCTGAGCTCCGTGGTGCCGTTAGATACCTTGGCTCACTTCGCTCTACAACCGAAGGTATTTTTCTAAAGTTAAAGTGGAATTAAGAAACTCCTCATCTTGAAGCCTTCGAATGGTACTAGCTGTCGTGCCGCCAATCGCGTTAGAATCACCCCGAGTGCTTGTTTAAAGCGCAGCTCCCACTCCCCCACTCCGTACCTGCCGAGTCTTTTCTGGAGATTAAGGCTGGGAAATACAGGTAGTCTGGAAGGTATCTGAGAAAATGGCAGACCGTAAGACCTCTGGACATGTCTATGCTCAATACGTGGAATTAATTAGTATATTTTTACTTAGTTGAGTACACAGCCTTTTCTTTTCTTTTCTTTTCTTTTTTTGGAGAGGTTTTTGCTATAGGGCGCATGCACCCACCAGGCAGACAGAGAGAGACAGAGAGACAGAAAGCGAGAAATCACCCCCTAGGGGGGATGGCCACGCCGCAATCCCTTCTCCTCCATTCTCTCAGGATCTTGGGCACGCATGCCCCACGCACACGCGCCCGGCGTGAGTTTAAGCAGGTCCCGGGACTGGAACCGCGGTCGCCTGCATGGGAGTCCAACGACATAGCCATTATGCTAACTGCCGATCCCCACAGCCTTCTTTTTAAAATAATTATAATTTTATTTATTATTATTTAAAAATTTGACTAGAGAGACAGAGCAAGAAAGTGAGAAAGCAAGTTCCCAGGTCCAGGATTAGAACTTGCGTTGACCATGTGGGAGTCCAGCACTCTAACCACCATATTGCCTGCTGGCCCGTGTATAGCCTTTTGCTAGGTAATGTTGCAAGGTAACTTGTCATCACTTAAGACACATGGTTTTGCATAAAGTGCATCATGACCATTTGTTGTTTTCTGTGGCCAGGACGTCAGTGGGGAGTGCATACACACAATACATACAACTTACACAACTTTCTAACCTTCTCACTGTCAGTCATTATCATAGGTTTTGTTTTGTTTTTTTTTGAGATCTTGGATCACTTCACATTTGGTAGATCTGGTTATACATTTTTTTCCACTAAAGATTTTAGTACCTACAGAGGACCAGACATTGTGCTAAGTAAAGAGGAACACAGATAAGGTCTAGAGGAAATTATGCAGTATCTATCAAAATAAAAACTGCCATTTAGGATGGGCAGATGACAGGGTAGTTAAGGATACTGGACTCTCACATGGTTGACCTGCGTTTGAGTCCCAGACCTAGCAGCTTGCTTCTCACTTTTTCTGCCTCTCTCTAATCAAATTAAAATAGTAATAAGAAGAAAAAAAGTTAAAAAAAATAATAAAATAAAACTACCCCACATTTTGACATATAATTTTAATTTTAGAAGAATTCTAGAGAGATGTATACTCATGAAACTTATATACAAGCATGTCCACTTGCAGCATCATATCTACTACCATAATATATTAATTCTAAGATGCAGGTTTAAATTTTTTAAAGAATTATTTAACTTTATTATTTATTTATTAACTTTATTAACTTATTTATTTGTTTTAATTTCACCAGAGAAGGACAGAGTGGGGGGAGGGGAATGAGAAAGCAAGCGGCCAAGTCCAGGATTTGAACCACAGTTGCCCATTTGGGAGTCTACTGCCCTTACCCAAGACAGAAAGCGAGAAATCACCCCCTAGGGGGGATGGCCACGCCGCAATCCCTTCTCCTCCATTCTCTCAGGATCTTGGGCACGCATGCCCCACGCACACGCGCCCGGCGTGAGTTTAAGTCACCTGGTCCGGGACTGGAACCGCGGTCGCCTGCATGGGAGTCCAACGACATAGCCATTATGCTAACTGCCGATCCCCACAGCCTTCTTTTTAAAATAATTATAATTTTATTTATTATTATTTAAAAATTTGACTAGAGAGACAGAGCAAGAAAGTGAGAAAGCAAGTTCCCAGGTCCAGGATTAGAACTTGCGTTGACCATGTGGGAGTCCAGCACTCTAACCACCATATTGCCTGCTGGCCCGTGTATAGCCTTTTGCTAGGTAATGTTGCAAGGTAACTTGTCATCACTTAAGACACATGGTTTTGCATAAAGTGCATCATGACCATTTGTTGTTTTCTGTGGCCAGGACGTCAGTGGGGAGTGCATACACACAATACATACAACTTACACAACTTTCTAACCTTCTCACTGTCAGTCATTATCATAGGTTTTGTTTTGTTTTTTTTTGAGATCTTGGATCACTTCACATTTGGTAGATCTGGTTATACATTTTTTTCCACTAAAGATTTTAGTACCTACAGAGGACCAGACATTGTGCTAAGTAAAGAGGAACACAGATAAGGTCTAGAGGAAATTATGCAGTATCTATCAAAATAAAAACTGCCATTTAGGATGGGCAGATGACAGGGTAGTTAAGGATACTGGACTCTCACATGGTTGACCTGCGTTTGAGTCCCAGACCTAGCAGCTTGCTTCTCACTTTTTCTGCCTCTCTCTAATCAAATTAAAATAGTAATAAGAAGAAAAAAAGTTAAAAAAAATAATAAAATAAAACTACCCCACATTTTGACATATAATTTTAATTTTAGAAGAATTCTAGAGAGATGTATACTCATGAAACTTATATACAAGCATGTTCACTTGCAGCATCATATCTACTACCATAATATATTAATTCTAAGATGCAGGTTTAAATTTTTTAAAGAATTATTTAACTTTATTATTTATTTATTAACTTTATTAACTTATTTATTTGTTTTAATTTCACCAGAGAAGGACAGAGTGGGGGGAGGGGAATGAGAAAGCAAGCGGCCAAGTCCAGGATTTGAACCACAGTTGCCCATTTGGGAGTCTACTGCCCTTACCCACCATGCCACTTACTTGCTCCACACATTTAAATTTTATTTTAATTTTTAAGGAAACTTTATTTCTATGAGAGAGGCAGACATAGAGACAGGTGCTCTCAACAGGATCCTCACACCACCATGAGCCACCCCCAGAGTCAGTGGGCCCAGATCATGGCACATGTGTGCATCTAGAATGCTCAGGGAAGTCCTGGGGTGAGAACCCAGAACTCAGTTGTGTTACTGCTGCACTGCCCTTTTTTCCACATTAAACCTTGCTGAAATTGGGTGCTCCTTAAATCAATGAACTCCTAAATGTGGCATAAGGAATGAAAAACTGAAAAATCCTCAAAGTTTATTAGTAGACGAATAGCTAAATCTATGAAATACATTCCTTTTGTAAGATAGTGACTTTTTAAAAGGAAGAAATAGAATTTTGTGGATAATTATGGAGAAGTGTCAGATGTTACTGGGTCCAAAAGGAAGGGGCAGAACATTAGAAGTGAAGAGCATGAGCTCTGAGGTTACCCTGCCCCAGTATAAAGTCTGGCTTCATCACTTAGTAACCATTGCTTTCATTTCTTCTCTTGTGAAAGAGGGAATAAAAATTTTCTCCACGTTACAGGCTTGTTTTGTGAATTAATTGGAAAACTGCATAAAAATTGCTTGTTGTCGAGCTCGAATTAATAAACACTCAATAACTGTTAGTCCTTTTATAAACATCATTATGCTTTTACATGGAAAGTTCTGGAAGGATATGCACACACTGTTAAGAGTGGTCCCCTTTGGGGAAAGGAGTGGAATTGGCAACAGGAACTGATAAAAAGGGAGTGTTCACTTCTTAGCTTATATACTCTTGTATTGTTGGAAAATGTTTCTACTATGAGGATATACTTTTAAAATTTAAAAACCACTTTAAAAGACAAAAAAATAAATAAGATATGGTTCTTCTAGCTTCAAAGGAAGCCATAGAATAGAGGTAAGAATGGGCCCATGGAAAGGCAATAATAGAGGTAGGTAAGAGATTCTACTGGAACCTGGAAGGGACTTGAGGCAGGCCAGACAATGGGGATGGAAGCCAGGAAAGTTTTCATGGAACTGATCAATGAAGAATCTGAATTTACTCAATATAATCCAAACTGTTGAATGGGCTTGCTGAAATGAATAAGCCCAGATACTACGGGTGATCCAGCATCCATTCTTTGAGCTGTTTTTCTAACAGTGGCCTTGACTTGTTCATGATAGGCGGTGAGGAAGCCATGCACATGATGTTGAGCTTTAGATTCTCTCCCGCCAACAACTGGAGAGATAAGGAAGAACACATGAGCCGTGAACTCCTTATCTGAGCTATGCAGATGCTTTAATGCTTGAGGGAAGTTTCAGGACTTCTGCTCTGGCCTGGATAAGATAACAGTGAAAGTATGAGTCCTTGATGCCAAACAGTGTAAAGATACCCTGAAGATGCTGTCAATGGTTTCAATCAATGGAATGGTCTAGTAATGGGGTTCGTGGTTCGGTAGGTATGCTCTGCAGAGTAGTGCTTGCCCAAGGAGGCAATGAGATTCCACACGAGCTCTACTCAGCAGATTTCATTGCCTAGAGGAATGGATGGCTTTCTAATTTATACAAATGTATCATATGGACGAGCAATGGGCCAGGCCCTTCTCCGATAGAAACAGCTGAACACAAGAACAGAGGTAACTGGTATGTAGGGTCCCTGCCATACAACACAGTATATACAGTTAAATTCTGGGCAACCGCACCGAATTTTCAGAAAAGGACCTAACCAGTTTATGACATTCATTCTAGCTAACATACATATTTTTAGAGGCCGTAAGTTTTCTAACTTCATTAATTCATTTCTCTATCAACAATTCTGTATAGCACAATTGCTATTTGTGATGCACTGCAGTAGATGCTGGGGGTAGAATGGTGGGTAAACACGTTCAAGCTCTGCCCTAAGTGCTTATGATCTATCAGGAAGAGTGACATTAATTAAGCAACCATCCAGCTGACATCCATAACAAACGCTAGGAAAGAATAATGTGACCTAGTAAGACAACTGTGACCAAGTCAGAAGGTGAGGGAAGGAAGGAGGAAGTGACGATCAGGTTGATATTTGAAGAGTATAGATGTTAAAATGAAAATTATATCAACTCCTTATTATATTGTTGGCTTCGGGCTTGACATATGAACTCATGCAATCCTCCCAAATGTCTTTTGAGGGAGGATTCCTCTTATTATCATTTATGTTTTACAGACAAAGAAACTGAAGCTCAGAGAGTGGAGTGACTTGATCAAGGTCACACACTGGGAAGTCATGGAAACAGTGATCAAAATCAGGCAACTGGAATGGCGTAAAACAATTTTGGGCACCATGGACAGATCACTGGGCGAGAGGTGAGAGACTTTCAGGCTGTCCAATGGTCAGGCTGATTTAGATGATGCATATAAAGCTGGAAGAGTCATTTAGTGGGGAAGATCAAACAAGGTGTTTGTTTATTGACTGAATTTTCTAGCTGTGGATTTATATTTCTTACTGTTACCAAATTCGATAAAGATTTGAGAGTCAAGAAATCATGACTTGTTAGCATAACACGCGAAATGAAGAAGGGGTAGAAGGCAGAGTGATACAGTGTTAAAATGCTCTGCAAAGCTGACCCACATAGGAAAATAATTGGTTTGCATCTAGAGATCTTCCTGAGAATACTGGTCCTATGTGTATGCCCATGACCCCAGGGTGGCTAAAATTGGGATGGATTACGGCCTCAAGACCCTGTTGGGGTTCTGCCTCCTCTCTCTCTTTCTCTCTAATGGTCTGTGTATGTTTCTTTTATGGAAGAAAGAAAGAAAAACAAACTTTTTAAAAAGGGTGTGGTCATTTATTAAATAGTGAATAGGGTTAACAGCAATGCCAGGAATCATGGCAGGCAATGCCCCCAGCATCCCCCAGGTGGCAATAAAGAGCAGCAAAAATATTTCCATGGTCTTTCAAAAAATTAAACATATTTTTTAAGTATGAAGGAACAAACTAAAGACTTCAAGCAGTATAGGAGGTACTGGACCAAAACAAGTCTCCCTCACATCTTTTAGATCCCTAATTTCTTTTTTCTCTAAATAACCTGTTGAGAATTTCTTGTACTTTTCAGGGGTATATTTTGTTCTAATTATTTTACTACTTTTTTTTCTAGGTAAAGTATTTGCTCATATGTCTCTCTTTTTAAAAATTTACCCAACTGGGATTTTTTTTTCTCCCTTAGTTTATCTTTCCATATACTTATCACATGCAAATCTACCTCATTAAAAAAAAAAATGGCTGCAGATTTACCAACAACAACATTTATAGAGTGCTTATTGTATACCTAAGCTCTTTCTTTGTGTATTTGCTCATATGTCTCTCTTTTTAAAAATTTACCCAACTGGGATTTTTTTTTCTCCCTTAGTTTATCTTTCCATATACTTATCACATGCAAATCTACCTCATTAAAAAAAAAATGGCTGCAGATCTTACAACAACAACATTTATAGAGTGCTTATTGTATACCTAAGCTCTTTCTTTGTTTTAGGCGTTTAACATTTATAAAACCTTAAGAGGGCATTCTGTTATTACCCCCACTTTATGAGAAAACTAAGGCATAAGTAGACAAATAACTTTCCTAATATCACTAGGAAGTACCAGCCAGGATGTAGATGCAAAAATTCTGACTTTCAAGCCTACATTCTTTTTTTTTTTGAAGAGGTTTGTATGTATGTAAGTATGTATGTATGTATGTAAGTATGTATGTATGTATGTATCTGTTTATTTATGTCTTAGAGTATGTGCAATTGGTGGATAGAGAGAGACAGACAGCGAGAGGGAAAGTGAGAAATCACTCCCCTTCCCCAGGGGAATGGCCACGCCGCAATCCCTTCTCCATTCTCCTCCCAGAATTTTTGTCACACATGCACATGTGCCCAGCGTGATTTTCAAGCCACCAGGTGGCTTGAACCATGGTCAGCCATGTAGGAGTCTAGCAACATGACCGCTACGCCATCCGTTGGCCCTGAGTCTACATTCTTTACTACCATGCTAAATTACTGTAGCATGGACAGGCTGTCATTTACTTAATTAGTCTCTTATTCTCTCAAAATTCTTTTGCACACTGGGAGATCCTTCAGAGGAAGAGCTAGGTAAATGTGGATGATTCCCTTTTTTCAAGAGTTCTACCTCCTCCAGTTTTTGCCTGCCATTGTTTTATTTATTTATTTATTTATTTATTTTTTTAGGTCTCTGCCATAAGGTGCATGCACTCGCCAGTGAGAGACAGAGAAAGACAGTGAGAAATCACCCCCCAGAGAGGATGGCCACACTGCAATCCTTTCTCCTTCATTCTCCTTCTGGGGTTTTGGGCACATGTGCACATGTTCTCAGTGTGATTTTCAAGCTGCCAGATCTGGGACTTGAACTGCTATCAGCCATGTGGGAGTCCAGCACTGTAAGCACTATGCCACCTACTGGCCCTGGAGCTCATATTTTTTTTTAAAGAATTATTTAATTTTATTTATTATTATTACAGTTATTTTTAAAATTTGCTATAGGGCATGTGTGCTCACCAGAGACAGAGAGAAAGAGAGGGAAAATGAGAAAGCAATCTGCCAGCCACAGGACTCAAACCATGGTTGGCCATCTAGGAGTCCAGCACCCCCACCACCGTGCCACCTTCTGGCCTCAAGCTCATATGCTCAAATGATAGGGAGTTGATTTTTTCTTTTCTGTGGGTACTAATTATTGTGTATAGGAAATATATTTTAGACATAGAGGTGAGACCTCAGAACTTCTTAAATATCTGATAAGATTCCAAACAGAAAATGCTTATCATTCATGCAAATCTGTCCCAGAAGTACAGCCTACACAAATTTATGTCAAGCTTGCAACTAGTTGGGGAAAATGGGTAACAGGAGATTAAGTCATTTCATTCTGTTATGTATAAAAAGTAGTTTTCAAAAGTGGATAATAAAAAGTGCCTGCCTTAGTTGTTTTTCTGTGAAGGTTAGATGTTATGTAGCACAAAGTGCTTAAAATAGTGCTGGCATAAAGTAAGATTTTTTAGAAAACATTAGCTCAGTTTCCATTTTATTTCTTTTTATTTATTTATTTAAAATTTTTTAGAAGTTTTTGCCACAGGGTGTGTGCGTTTGCTGCAGAGAGAAAAAGACAGAGAGAGAAAGTGAGAAATCACCCCCTGGGGGATGGCCACACCACCGTCCCTTCTTCTCTATTCTCCTCCTGGGATCTTGAGCACGCACGCACAGGTACCTGGTATGATTTTTTTTTTTTTGGAGAGGTTTTCACTGTAGGGCGCGTGCGCTCGCCAGACAGACAGAGAGAGACATAGAGACAGAAAGCGAGAAATCACCTCCCAGGGGGGATGGTCACGCCGCAATCCCTTCTCCTTCATTCTCCTCTCAGGATCTTGGGCACGCACGCACATGCGCCCGGTGTGAGATTTAAACCACTGGGTCCGAGACGCGAACCGCAGTCGACTACGTGGGAGTCCAGCGACATAGCCATTACGCTAACTGCTGGTTCCCCCTGGTGTGATTTTCAAGCCACCAGGTCCGGGACTCAAACCACAGTCAAGTACATGGGAGTTCAGCGCCATAACCAGTACACCATCTGCTGGCCCTTTTCTTTCTTTTTAAAAATGTTTATTTTTTCCATGAGTGAGTAAGAAGGGGGGAGTGAACCTCCCAAAAGGATTTTGACTCAGTGATCTGCCCTCAGCTTCAGCCAGTTTCAGATTTCATAATTTGGATTAGGGACACATGTGTACCAAGTGTGTTCAGGGTGATTTTCAGATACACACCCACGACCTTCCCTGATGGGTCTGTCTCACAGAACATTGCATTACCACTGCAGCCCCCAGTGTCTGTTTTATAGAAAGGTGGTTATCCCAGAATCTGTTGCTTCTTTTCTTCATCTTTTCTCTCCAGTTTGTTGCTGGATCCTGTTACACAAGTCAGAGTATACAAGGCCAGGCGAAAGAAACGGGCCCTTCATCAGAAGGAACACCCTAAGGTGCCTTTCTCCATTGACCCCACTAGGGGGCATCCCAGCCTCAAAAGAGACTGTGGGAAAGGGCACTCCTACCAAATGAATTAGGGGTTCGCTTCAATTCATTTGTGTAGATCTTCTTTTGTTTAGTGTAGGTGGATTTTCATCTCCTTTTCCTAAACCCTCATGATAAATGATCAAGGGATACGTGTGAATGTTCTGGGACAGGATTTTCAGCCAACACCTTTGTTAGCTTCATTTTGCTTTAAAACTCAGGTTTAAATCTGTCAAAAAGCAATGTCAAAATAAAGGTAGGATGGTGGAGAAACTTTTACTTCAATTCTCATCTTCTATTTATCCTTGCCTTTACACTTTCATTCATTCATTTAGTCACTTGTTCATGTAGTCAATAAATAATTAGGAAAAACCTTTTTTTTTTGAGAGAGAGATTTTCGCTAGAAGGCACGTGTGCTCGCCAGACAGACAGAGAGAGACATAGAGACAGAAAGTGAGAAATCACCCCCCAGGGGGGATGGCCACACCGCAATCCCTTCTCCTCCATTCTCCTCTCGGGATCTTGGACACGCACGCACATGTGCCCAGTGTGAGTTTCAAGCCACCAGGTCTGGGACGCGAACCTTGGTCGACTACGTGGTAGTCCAGCAACATAGCCATTACGCTAACTGCTGGTTCCAATTAGGAAAAACCTTTTATGTGCCAGATACAAAGGTGGACACCAGGAATACAGCGGTGAACAAGATGAACATGGTCCCTGCCCTCATGGGGGCTTATAATCTCCTGGGAAAGACAGATATTGAGTAATAATTACACCTATTGTTATTGAATAATAATTGTACCTAGCTATCATTGGCATAAGGCCTTGACGTTTTGTAAAACTAGGGCTGTGTGAGTGTACAGAAGGGAGACTCTAATATTGAAGAGCTGGCATGTCAGAGAAGGCTTCCCTGAAGAAGAGGCATTTTTTATGAGATGAAAGAGTGGATATTCGTTCGTGTCAGCAGGTGGGTGTAGTGGTAAAGGCGTTAGACTCCCACATGGCTGACCACGGCTCAAGTCCTAGACCAGAGGCCTGAAACTCATACCAGGAACATGTGTGTGCATGCCTAAAATCCCAGAAGAAGGATAGAAGAGAAAGGATTGTGTTGTAGCCATCTCCCATGGGGGGTGGTTTCTCACCTTCTCTCTCTTTCTCTCTCTCTCACTCTCTGGCGAGTACATGCCTCCCTATGGCAAAAACCTTAACAACAACAGAGTGGCCATTAGCTAGGGGAAGGGACACATGTGAAGAGGAGCTTTTCATTCATTCAGCAAATGAGTGCAGACTTCTCATTTATACAGAGTGTCT